TAAGCCAAGTGCTTAACTATTTATGATATGCAAGGACTCCAAGCATTAGAAAATTTGATATAAAATTCTTCCACATGTCTCTAGTAACTCAAACCCTTTCCTATGACTGTGGTGTTATCACACTTTCTCGTCTACCACACATTTGCATGGGTTTCTTCTTATTCTCAGATATCCTGGGTTCATGACAGGATGGTGCAGGATTTCTTGTTCATAGGATTGACATGAGTTATAGTCGACTTGATGTCACCACAAAACAACATGATATTATTCTCATAATTCATAGTTTGCATCATATTATACTCATTCGGAAAAGTCCTGTCTAGAGCTTCAGATTGCCAACAGAGAATGTGGCTTCTACTTTCTGTCTATTTGGCATTTGTAGAAATCTCTCTAAGCTTCCTCAATATAAACTGTCTATTTAGCAATCTAGGGAGCTTTGCTGTGCTGAAGTGCAATATTGTCACCACTCCCTTCTTTTGGCCCACATGTTGGACATTTTGGGACAATGGAGTTCCTACACAATAGCAACATTCAGCATCTAAAGCTCTTGTTGTAGCCCCAACACTCTTGTGGTAGCCTCCATGATGATATTAAAATTGTCATGACTGTGGTATTTCCAATGTACACCACAATTAGCCCATTGCCAGCACTGTCCCCCTTGTGTTTTTGAGGGAAAACCTCTAAATGAAGAGACACAATGTCTGAAAGCTGTTTTTTTCAACCAGAGTGTTCTACAGAGGCAAAGATGGTGAGAACAAATGCTCAGCTTCTTGCACTAGACCACCAGAGCTCCCTTAAAATGGACAAGTCCTTGAAAAATGACATCATGCTTGAAAAGTAGATGGCCAGGGAAAGAGAGGAAGACCATCAACAAGGTGGATCAACACAAGTGATTTTTTACAATGGCCTGATTAGGAGGTGGTGAGGATGGCACAGAAAAGGGCAGAGCTCAGACCTGTTACTCATAAAGTGGCTAGTAGTTGTAGTCAACTTGATGGCACCTAACAACAATAACAACAAACGGTTTACTATTTGTCATTACAATTGGATTAAGCTATTTTAAATGAAAGAGGCCAGTGATGCTGTTTGAAGCAGATTTTACACCACAACCCAGTGACACTTTATTGCTCAAAAATCTATATTCTTACTAATTACAACCTGTGTATTTTAATATTTCAGCAACTATAAGAACTATACAGTAAACATCTTGAAATTTGATAATAGAAAAGAAAATGAATAATACCTTCATCTTGTAAGGTGACCTGCCTTTGAGAAGAGGTGTGTAGATTCTACTGCTCACTAACTGGCAGGCACTATGGTATAAGCTTTACTCACACTAATTTTATTTAATCCTTGTAACATCTCTGTAAATTAAGTATCACTTATCCCTCTGATAAAGACAAAGAAAATAAGGCTTAGAGGGATTAAACAACTTGTTTAGGGGAGCATAGCTAGTAAATCTCAAAACCAGGGAGGATTTGAACCTAAGTCTTTCTGATCCAAAGATGTTATACACCATTTAACAATATCTGACTTCAGTAAAGTAGAATGAGTAAAATAACAAAGCATTTTTTTACAGGCCAGGACTTTACATAATCTGGTCTCTACCTTCCTCTCCAACTTACTTTTAGACTACATGCAGCCCCAGCACCTTGATGTCCAGCCCTGGCTTCCTTTCTGTTTCTCCATCACTCCGTTTCACAGCCCTGCATATGCTGTTCACATTGTCTGGATCCTCTCCCCCTTTTCTCTTCACAGCTACTTCCGTGGCTACTTCTTCAAGTTCTTACCTCACATACTTCTTTTTAGCTCGAAGATTCTTTTCCTGGCCACTTTATCTAAAGTAGTTACTGCTCCCAATTTAAGGCCTTTCTTATTGTATATAAGGCCAAACACTTTATTTGCTTCACAGAATGCTTCCAATCTGAAATCCATTTATTTATTTTTTTTTCCTATTTATTGTCTGTCTTCTCCCATAGGATGAGCTTTAGTGGCGTAGTGTATAAAGAGTTGTGTTCCTAACCCAAAAGTTGGTGCCACTCTCATGGTTCAAATCCACCAGCTGCTTTGCAGAAGAAAGATGAACAATCTCCTTCCCGGCCATGTACAGTGTCTGGAAACCTATGGGCGGGGTCAGCTATGAGTAGGTTCTGACTGGATAGTAGTGAGAGAGAGAAAGAGGGAGAGAAAGGATGGGAGCTGCTGGAAAGAAAGATCATCTGTTGAAACTTAGAACAGCACTGAGCATATAATAAATGTTTATGTGTGTGTACACACACACACACGTACATATTTACACACACTTTATCCTGGAGAGGGTTAAACCAGGCTGCTCCTTGGTGTCAAGGATTCTAAAGCTTTGTCTGACATACTTTGGACATGTTGCATGGAGGGACCAGTCCTTGGAGAGGGGTGTCATGCTTGGGAGGGTGGAGGGACAGCAGAGGAGAGGAAGACCCTCTATGAGGTAGATTGATTCTATGACTGGGGTAATGGGGGCCGGTGTGTCAGAGACAGTGAGATTGCCACAGGATAGAGCAGGGTTTAGGGCTGTTGTACATAGGCTCACTATGAGTCTCAGACGACTCAATGGCATATAACAACAACAATGTGTACATACTCACATATATATGTATATATGTGTGTGTGTTTTGAATTAAAAAGGGGATGAATTTCTATAAAATTAATACCTTTCTTTTTAGTTAAGAATTATTATTGTTAATTACCACCAAACACATTCATAGTCATGGCAGCCCACATTCCTTAGGGTTTTCAAGGCTGTGAGTTTTCAGAAACAAATTGGCAATCTTGTCTTGCCAGGCAGTTGAGGGGCAGGAGGGTGACAGGGGCGAGCAGAATCTGAACTGCCAATATGCAGCCAAGTAGTCAAGCATTTAACGCTTAGTGCCATCCAGGAACACAAGTTGAGGATAAGGTCTTTTGAATGTTTTTGGCTGACGTTATTTGAGGATGAATGTGCTTGATAATTTAGAGTGCTCTAAATCATGTTTAGCTTTGATCAGGGCATGTAATACAATCATCATGATCTGTTGCAACTTCCTGTGGGAGCAAAGCTTTCGGTTTTGGTTTTAACATGTCCAATGGTCATGTTTAAATTACAAACTATTCGGTAATAACCTGACAATGTTACTTAATGAGTATAAAACACTTTACCTAATTATCTACAGTAGAATGATAGTATTATTACAAAGAAAGACCAAATACACTGCCTTTCAGTCGGATACCACTCATGGGAATTCTGCTGGGTTTCTGAGGCTTTAAAACGCAAAGACTTCATAGCTGTCAGGTGATAATTGACTCAGAACTGACCCTGGATGGTGTTTCCAGGGCTGCAAATCGTGTGGGAGAAAATTGCCCACCTTTCTCCTACAAGAACGCTTGATAGGAAAGAGTCCGAATTTTTCTCCCCAGGAACAACTTGGTGGATTCCAGTCATCAACTTTTCAGTTGACATTCGACATGTTAGGTACCATGGAAGCTTTACTGGGTTGTGGGGTTTTTTTGTTTCCCCCCCCCCCTAGTTTAAAAATTTACTGTAACTTGTAGTTTAACTAAAGAACTTTGGAAAGGTAAAGAAGTTTCTCCAAGTTACATGAGTACATTCAGGTCCAGATACATGACCTCTTCCTTTGTATTTCAACTCTTAGTATATTTCTCCTTTCCTTCTTCCACCAGCCCCTTAAAACAATACATATTGCCTTGGGTTAACAGGTTATTAGTAGCCTTTAATGACAAGAAACCTGCATTTAAGAAAGAAACATGTCATTGTTAGCCAAAGCTCTTGATTTATTTAAAAATTGAGGAGAAAGGAAACTGTAGTTTTCATGGAGGCACTAATTATGTTATTAGAATGAGAAAGAATTATCAGATTCAGCATAAAACAGGACTTACAACGAGAGCGCACCTTAGTGGCAAAGATGATATTTGTCTCGCTTACTTTGGGCATGTTGTCAGGACAGCTAGTATTGGAAAAAGGCATCATGATGAGAAAGTTAGAGGGTCAATAAAAAAGAGAAAGACCCTCAACATGACAGACTGACAGGGTATAACAAAGGGTTCAAGCATGGTGGAGAGACTATGATAATGCAATATGAGAGAAGGTTCGGACCTGTTGATCAAAAGTCTATTGGAGATGTATGAACTGGATGGCACCCAATGGCAGCAGCATTGCAGTTTAACTCAATGTATTTTATATTAAAAGTCTATTGCATATGAACATCATATTCAGAAATCATCAATGATAAAATCAGATTAATTGTCTATGACATTTTCTGAATAACTGCTCACGTAACAAAGGAATTCCTCATTTTCCAGAATTTATTTTCTTAAAATTGTCGTTTGGTTTAGGAAAAAAAAAAAGAATTCTGTTCATACACTCATTCCTAAAATACAGTGTACATCTTGTCTTTGTGTTTTCTAAGAAGCCAAATATTTCTTTTCTAAGCATAAATAATTATAAGCATTCAAAAAATAAAAAAGGGATTACATTGTTTTGGTTAAACAAAGAAAGAAACACATAACCATTGCATATGATCAGGGTAAATATAATGCATTCCACATGACTTAAAAACCATGTTTTGCCTAGAAGGGCATGCTCACATGACCAACAAAATTCTCCTCTTCCCTAAAACTTTGGTTAACAGATACACCCAGTTTCTTGCTTTTACAGAATAAAACATGGACCCTTGTATAGATAACTAGGACATTAAGCCTATTTAGTGAGTGTATATAAGGTTTTTATGCTGATTTTGAAGAATTCCAGTTCTCTTCAGTGCTTGTTTACAGAATGATCACAGGATGCACGGAAAGTATTATTCATCCCAGTGACTAAGCATGTGGGTCACAGAAGCAGAGGCTCCCAGAACTGGAAGTGACCCAAGGGATTATCTTGTCCAAACCCTTCCTTCTAGAGATAAGGATAAACTCTCCCTGTTCTGGAGACTACTGCAATGAACTCTTGCTTGTCTTTGTGTCTGCAGGAATACATGGATTCCAATAAATACCTGGAGCATCTGCTGACTCAACTCCAGGAACAGCACCGAAGCCTTTGGAGGTGAGTTAAATCCCGAGCCTCCTCTCTTTTTTTCCTCTCATGTAGTGAGTGACCTTTACAACTTTTATCTTGACCTCCGTGATAGGAAGTTGGAAAAAGGCTAATTCTTCCACTTGGAACCAGAGACTTTCCGGGGTGCAGAAATCACGAGGGGCTGCCTAGAAAATGCCATTCCTTTGATGAAAGTGGAATAGTTGTGCCTGCGCTGGTCCTTGAGTCAAGGGCATGTTGAGAGCTGGAGAGATTGGAGGGGTGGCGTGTGAAACTTTTCAAGGTCAAGAAATTCATGCAATTTGCCCAAAGCTATCTGGCAAGCTTTTAATACAGAGGAAAACAAAATCCACATTCTCTGACCCTTGCTTGTTTAATGGTCATTTGATTGCTCCTCTAATTAAAATGTAAACAATTGCTTAGATTTTCTGATTATCTTAATATTAAAAACAACAATGAATATTTACCATCCTCATGCAACTGACAGTGCCCCCATGTGGATTAGAGTGAAATGGACTCCATAGGTTTCCCATGATTAATATTTTGGGGATGTAAATGACCAAGCCTTTCTCCCAAGTTACCTTTGGGTAGATTTTCTAAGTAGACTCTCACATCTGCCTTTGTTGTTGGCGGCTGAGTGTGTCACTATTTGTGCCACCCTCCTCTAACATTAAAGGAGATTGTTTTAAAAGTAGCATTGCATAGGTCTCCAGCAAGTAGTTTTTGTTTTATAAAAGAGTAATATGGTAAGTTAATTCTAGATAAGGAAAGGCACACACGTGAATGTGGGCAGGTTAATTAGAAAAAAGGTTGAGTAAAATAGAAGCCCTAGTCCCATTTGTTCTCTGAGTTTATCAGGATTTGAGCCTGGAACAGATGGTTCTAATGCTATTATGTAAATTTTCAGGATCCATGCCTTCACATGTGCTACTGTGGAATTTGAATCTTTTTCCCAAATTCCAGTGGTATTCTTAGGTGCCATACACTGCGCTTCTGCTCACAGAAATCTTATGAACAACAGAACAAAACCCAGCCCCATCCTCTACCAAACTCATGACACCTAGAGGTGTGGTCGCTATATCAATCCAGCTTGTTGAGAGTCTTCTTCCTTTGCTTACCTCCTACTTTGCAAATCATGATATTCATCACCCCCCCCATGACTGGCCCCTGCTAGTAACGTGTATATGACACAAAGACTCACCATCCTTGCTTCTAAGGAGTCTTCTGAATACACTTCTTCCCAGACACATTTGTTTGTCCTTTTGGCAAGCCATGAGATACTCAATATTCTTCAGCAACACCGTGATTCAGGATCACCAATTCTTCCTATAGCTCTTATTAATACAAAACAAATATACTAATGGCTAGTGACTATAATGCTTTATCATTGTATCCTAATATTTTATATCTTTATTTCCCCTTGGATGAGTAAGCCTCTAAACTGCTTTACTTCTTTTGTATCTTCTAGTAATGTTTTCACTGTATACAGAGATGTTGTGTAAATATTTACCATTGCTCTGGCCCTGTTGCCAAACCTCTTTCAAAGCCCTCACACTATTCTCCTTGCCCATTTTACACTCCACTGTCACAGATTCTAATAAGCTTCAACTTCATCATCATTGGGGAATTCTAGCCCTTAAGTAAAGTACCAAATATTTATTTTAAATTTTGATGCTATTATATTATTTTTTAAAGTAGAAGACAGTTTTCTAACTTTCATATGCATAGAAAAACTTGCTAGAATATAACAAACTTGTTTAATTTTATGTCTGTCACTAATGAATATAACCACTACTTTTGTATCATTTGATGCAGTATTCATCATATTTGTTTTGGGGTGATATCATCTGATTTAATACAATTTTATTTTCAGAAGAAGTTCATTATATGAGTGAAATAAACAGTAGTTTGTTTATAGTTATATGACTTTTAAAATATTTTCTTTGAATATTTAGGAAAATATGTTTTAATTGTTTAATTGAATTATCTTAACAGTTTTAACTATTTACAGAGAATATTTTGTTTTTTCTGTCTTCTAAAAATAGTCAAAAGTGATGAATACATGCACATGAAGGAAATTTTTAAAAATGTTGCTACCTGGGAAGACTTTATTGTCAAATAGTATAGGTACTGTTGAATATTGAGAAGTATTGGGCTGCATTGATCATTAAAAGAAGTAAAGTTTCTTACACACGAAACTAATAATATACACAAGATAATAGTGAAATAAAGACTTCTAAACAAAGTAACTTGAATTAAAATAGAACAAATGTATCCAACTACATTTCACATTGTTAGACTGACATTTTCTATGATTGTATTGGCTAACCCTATTTTATAACTACTTATATTTCCATTCTTAAATGAAAATATATCCTAAGGGTCTATATTTCTTTTTTTCTATTTTCTCATCCCTCTCATGCTTTTCTATCCTGTTTTTTACCTCATTCTTCTTCTGCCTCGTTAAAGTTGACTTTGTCAGTAAATGTATTATATATATCATTGAGGAAGAATAACAGATTCACTGGGTCTTTGAAAAAAACAAACAGCAAGAAAAAGCCTTTTTTTAATATGGCTTTCTTGAGGTAGCTAATAAAACCTTTTGGTCTTCTCAGATATAATTCAATTAAAATCTCATTTCAGGCATGGACTTAACCTAACACAAAGTAAGAGCTAAGAATTTTGTGTGCAGTAGCTTCTATTTTTCTTCAGAAATGGAATTATTGCTATCAAAGAAGTGAAGTCATATATATACTGTCAGAGAATCTAATAAAAAAGCTCCATTTGAATAACAATAGAGAGCAATAATGACATTTGAATAGTCAGAATAACTACTAGATAGAAAATGGAAATAGGTAGTATTGAAAAGAAAATGAAAACCAATAATAGTAGATTTATATACTATTTATTGAATCATGAAATTACGTTTGATTATATTTTGCAAATAGAGCTGAGCTTGACTGACTTAAAGTGATAGGCTTTATGATGGTTATTACAAAATCATAACGACAACTGTGGCCAAATTGTTTTTAGTAAAGGATATATGAGTGGCAGTGAGCAGTGTGGGGAATCCTTTCTGGTCTTGATTAAATTTCTTAAATGCTTTATTCATGAGTTGGAATCTGTGCTGTGCAGAGGATCATGGGAGTATCATGTCCTATACACAAGCACAACTGGGTTGCCTGAACTTAAACAAGTGTTCTCATAAATCAGCATAGACTCCCTCTTTGATTTGATTAGGCTTTTGATTTGTGGCTGCTACAATTTTCATGGAGAAGGCCTACTTGTCATTGCAACTTATACTAACTGATGGCTTCCCATTATTTTTGAGCTGAACTATAACTTAAAAGATCTATATCGAAATCTATAGTTAGATCTTCCAGCAATAATTGTGATAAAATTAATTTATGCTCACCATCCATGATGACTACTCAGAATTGTGGTAGGCACATGGCAAGCTCTTATTACTACTTGTTTAATTTTAAAAGAATTAGAAAATGTTGATAGAGGAATGGGAACAATTCTTTTTAAAATTAATATTCCTTTTCCCCCAGAGGGAGCTACTAGTCTTCAGTAGATATATCCATTTTGTATAGTATAACCATTTGCTGTGACAAAAAAATATATTGTTGCAGTCTCAATATAGCTGTTTATTTTGCAGTCCTGCTTAGTTGTCTACTGAAATAGACCTATAATCTATATCTGTGCTTCCAAATTGCAAAGGAATTTGTATAGACTGCTAGCAATGAACTGTCTTTTAGCTCAACTGTCTTTTTTGACACCAACAAGTCCTTTCTAAAGAATGAAGTCATCTCCAGAAGAATCAAGGACATAGTCTGGGTAGGTCTAAAATAAGCATACTAGTGATAACATATATACTATTTGGCATTAAATGGTCATTGTCATCCTTTTTTTCCATATTTTGTTCTAATGTGGAAAGTTGGAATTAGGAGAGAAAGTCAGGTTTTTTTGCACTTGATAATATTTGTATCCTCTCTTACTATGTCTAATTTGACTAAATGTATCTATGAATGACAAAAATTTTATGGAAATAATTGCCGGGAATGTCTTCTAACATTTGATAGAAATCTCCACACCTAGCTTCAAGTTAAGAATTTAGAACAAACAAACAAACAAACAGTTGGAAAATAACAAATAAAATAATGAATATTTATGTAATTTAAATTTCTCTTTCATACTACATATATAAAGGAAGTAGCATGAAAAAGTAGTAAGAGAAAGAAGGATGCATAGGGAGTTTCAGTGACTTGCACTCTATCTGGCTTGCCTAAACTAGAAGCATAATTTCTCTTGTCTTATTATCTACAAAGCAGGCTATCAAAATAGCTACTATTTAAGATTACTGAACACTGTAACCCCCATGAGCTACTCATAATGGCATAAATAATTATATTGCATTTTTTGAACATATACCAAAACAAAACAAACAAACGAACGAACATCAAAAAAAAGCAAGCTGTAAAGACAGAAAAGCCCATGTAAGGACAGCAGAATCTAATCTTTATTAATTTCACAAAGAGGAACTGTCCCTGTCAACATCATCAGTGGCACAAAGCCAATTCTCATGAGGTCAGGAATGTCCCCCATGCTCCCATACTTCTTTAGACTCAACACCAATATTACTACATTGTTGTTGTTGTTGTTATGTGCCATTGAGTCTACATACAGGATAGTGACTCTATGTACAGCACCTCTGAGCCCTGCCCTGTCCAGAGCCAGTCTCACTAATTCTGACACACCAACCCCCATTATCCCAGTCACTGTATCAATCCATCTCATATTGTGTCTTCCTCTCCTGTGCTTACTGCTTTGCTAGGTCCAAAAATCCAGTGCAATTTCGCACAGGCCACAAATAACCATGTTGGGGAAGTTAAAAGGTTATAATTCAGGTTAGTAACAGAACACAGGCAGGATGGCATCTGAAAGGTGTATGCAGACACCTGAGCTCTGAGCCTCGTGGCTTTACACTAGTGTTATAAAGTTTTCAG